GTACACACACTTCGGTGATAGTAGCAATGTCTAAGCGAGGTTAGAAAACAATATTGGAACAGTTTTAACATGTACAATGCCAATACTATTTAAAGTAAAATTGGATAAAGGTGCATAGTCGGTATTGAATCTGTTAAAGTAACTTATGAATAAGTGTTTTCGACTATAAGAATAATAACAGTGGTAGAGCCCGCTTTAACATCTTCGCACGAATCGGCCCGGCACGCCCGGTGAAATACCACGACCACACAGAAGACAGGCGTGAAGTGGAAGTTATTCCGCGTTTCGTCTGTTAAGTGTGCGTCCCGGAAGCCTAATTTAGTCCTCTTTTCCTTCCCTCCCTTTTTCTTATAAGAAAAGGATGGGAAGTGGAAGTGGACTTTCAGGATGAGAGGATGCATGGGAAGGGAAAATATTTTCTTGCTGTGCATCCTCTCCTCCGTCGATCAATGGTAGGCAACGCATATGCAATTGCATATGTCTTTGGGCAACGGTCACTTCGCTATTTCAGCGATTTCAGGTGGCCGCTCGCTCGTTTGCCACCTTACGATATATTAAAAAAAAAGAGTAAATTCTTGTAAGACGGTTATTCCTATTGTTTCGCCTTAATCGGCTCTTATACATACCCAAGGTTTAGGTGACTAAGACATTGTCAACCATAGCCCAGTGCGGGTTGACTTTACATATATTTTTGATTTTTTTCACAGATATTTGCAGGTTTCATTACCACGTTCCTTAATATTCTTATTTACGTCTAAATTTCTGAGCCTGAATAACTATTTAAATTCGAACAATGCGACTTAAATAGGTAACATGTTTTCGGTAGAGTCCATTTGCCAGTATGAAAACACCACATTAAAATAATCTTAAAATTTCCCTTTTTCATATTTAAAAAACAAACTTATATCAATTGCTGTTCGTTAGTCTCGCTAAAACTCGAGAACCGAACTCAACGGATTTAATTTATCTCGGTTTTGAAATGTTCGTGGAGGTCTAGGGAAGGTTTAAAATGTGAGATAAATTCGAATAATTGCATTGAACTAATTAAGTTTTTTTTTAATTCCACGCGGAAGGAATCGCGGGCGACAGCTACTCACATAATAAATAATAGTCACTTTCATCGTTTACATAATCTGTCGTTAAATAATTTAATTTGCAACAACTTTTCTCTATCACTTTCGAAGGAAAAACATCGATTAAGTGCGATTATTAATTCTCTTCTGTTCGTGTTCGTATTAGCCTGGTTCTGTTATAAGTTATTATGAAGACATTATCGATATGTTATCCACTAACACGGGTTTAACATAATGCGGTTTGTGGTCTAACTTACCGCAATGTTCAGTGAATGTGGAGAAAACGTTTTTGTCTCTATATGGCGTTTTCACTTACGGTTTATAGCGTTATTTGACAGTTTTTTTGTAGAAATTTTTATCATCATCAACTTACTATACGCCTCTGACGAGAGGCTCGGAGCCTTCCCTAATTTTGAGGTGACTAGGCCAAGTGTGGGTTGGTTGATTTCACACATATCTTTGAATTTTCTTATCAGATATGTGCAGATCGCGATGCTTTCCTTAACCGTAAGAACGTCGGATAAATGTACAAATGTTATTCGGAAATAGAAAAACACATTGGTACATGGCGGGATTCGAACCCAGGACCTGCAGATTGCAAGTCGATTAACACTTGAACTATTCAGTGGATATAGTGAGCTGATGATGATGATTTTAGAAGATGACATTACGACATCTTAATGTTAGTATTAGTTTTCTTTGAGGTATTTTTCTCCATGAAGTTTTGTACATGTCGAGTGAAAATTAAATTTACATAATGCAATATTATTTCTTGTCGATTTTTATCAAATTAAAAATTCAATAAAGCTTCATATGTCATTAAGTTAAACATAATTCAGTGGTGCAACATCGCGTGATCGTAGCGCCCTCTGTCGCCAACAAATAGTAGTTTCGCGTGGCGTGTGTATGCAGTTCGGTGCACTTTTTGTTAGCATTACGACAAAATGACTGTAAAGGTTTTCGTACGATATTGTATGCTAAATTCAATAGATTTAAATTGCCCTTTAATTATATTTCTAGTGTTTTAACACGTTCCAAGACTAAATCATCATCGCCTTGTCCTTGTCCCACTTATGTAAGGTTGGCGCACCAGTTTTAGGTCTATCAAATCAACCTATCAACCATCGTCTAATCAGTCCCTTCTTAATCATGACAACTTTCATGCAATCTATCTCTTTCTCTCTCCCATGTACCCTTCGACACTAATATTAGACTAAGTAATCAATATAATTTAAACTAAGTTGGCTTATTGTAAAACTATTGAACCTCGTAAAATATGGAATCGGCTTTTCTTATTCCTGTTGACAAATTAGTCTTTACCTTTCATCGTTCTTCATATTACGCAGCCAAAATCACGCGAATCTGGACTTTTTGACAGCGAATGTAAATTAGTTATGCTAAAATAAAATTGATATTGGCTACGATGATTAAATCGTATTAGTCGACTAATTTATTATGTTAGTGGGTAATTCATCAGCCAAGAACAGAAGTCTTGAACATTTGACGTTCATCTATTGCCTAATCTATAAAGCACGTCGCATACGGTTGAGACAGAAATATACCAAAGCTGAATATCCATATTTTAAATTGAATTAAAATATTGCTATCCCTCATATTCTCTTAAATAGAATAGAGATGGCAATAATATTATCGCTCACGTTTGCACGTAGTCGTAACTAAAATCTCCGATTAAAACATATTTTTATCTCTGTTTTGTCAAAGATAATGACAGGGATGACGATATTTTTCATACAGAGAGTTCCTCCAGTTAAAATTTAAGGCATACTAGATCTACTAAAAGGCAGTTTATTAAAGAGAAAATTGCGTATGTTTATATTGGAGTGTCGTGAGTTAACTCGCTTTAAGTTCGCTTTCGCGACTGTGTACTACAGGCATAACTCAGATTTGCATAAATAACTACTACATTTTAAAATGTATATTTGTAATCTTTATGTCCTTGTAATAAGTACTATTTTCGCTTGTTGCTTATTGTAAGTTTTTCATCTTCTGAAACTGGTTGTAGATAGCGCCAGTTACATGCAAGTTTTTGATATAGTTTTATAACGCACTTGTTTTTAATTAAGTCGATGTTAAATAACAAGTTACTATAGCTCATATGAATTCAATTAAAGTAACCATTCAAAACAAGACTAACTGTGAGTTTCTAAGACAAAAATCCCCGTTTAAAACAACTTTTTTATATAAGAGAAGATGGCAAACGTGCAGCATGAACACCGAGGTGTTCAACAACGCTCATGGACATCAGCAATACCAGAGGAACCGCAGATGCGTTGCCAGCCTTTGAGATGGCTATACGCTCGCTTCTTGATTAACCCTAAAAGTCGTAGCGGTTTGGAAATACCTTGTGATATCTGTTTTGTCAAATTTTTTAAACAAGAAATCAACGGTAAATTTATTTGTTAATAACAAAATCATTTAGTGCTATGTTTATCTTCGATTTTGTTAGATATTAAAGATGTTTTATACAGATCTTTTGGTAATGAAAACACTAAGTTAAGCATTAATATGAACTAACCTATATACGTATTTTTTTGAACACAATGCTATGAGCTAAGGTCAACGCTCGAGTTTGACTTGTGAACATAAATCTGAATCATTGCATTGTATTTGAGAGATCCTTCCCGTTGATCAAGAAGTCTTTGTTTTATATTATACTAGCTGTAGACCGCGACTCCGTCCACGCGGAACTAAAAACTTATTTAGTAGAATATGTGTTATTCCAGGCTCTGTTCTACGTGTATGAAAAATATCATCGAGCTCCGTAGAGCTGTACTGGAGATACATTCTAACAAACATCCATCCATTGATCCATTCCTACATTCGCTTTCATAATATTAGTAAGATTTCCTTGGTTTCTAAGAGCAAAATTCGTTAAAGATAATGACAGGGATGACGATATGTTTTGAAAATGGATTTTAGTCTCAGAAACCAGTGATATAAATTGTAAATTACAATCGTAATAATCATCAATATGTCAAATAAGACAAGATACGTATCATATAGAGCGTATTACTTCAAAATAAAGTACATCATTAAGGTAACTTTGATGTTGTTTTGATTGTTATTGATCGATGACATTATCTCGGATAATGATACCACATTCAATGAAATTGGTACGGAAATTTGGTACATTATTGTACCGAAACTATAATGATATAGCTTAGTACTTTAAGAAATTGTTATAGTACGTTTCCATTGTCTAAACACTAGTACATAGTCAAAAGACAGTCATCTTAGCTTTTTGGAGAATAAAAGTTTATACTCAAGTATAAATTGTCATGTCAAGAAACGTTTGAAGTCCGTGGTTTGGTTGCATTGGTTAAAACAATTACCGTGGGTTTCTGAGACAAAAATATCTATTTAAAACATATTGACATCCCTTTCTTTATATTTGACAAAAACAGAAATATCAATTTCTTTTAAACCGGAGATTTAGGTCTTAGAAACTCACAGTTACTGTGTGCAAAATCTGCGTCTATAACATATTGTTATCTCTGTTTTATTATAGATGGAAGACAGGGATGTCGATATGTTTTATACATTGATTTTCGAGTCGAAAACAACGATTATTTGTTTATTTTGTAATATAAAAACTGACTTGTAACATGAAATATTTATAGTGAATTTTAAACGACTTGACACTTGTATACGAACATGCTATCTCTTTTTTTCACAGAGAAAGAAAGGGATGGCGATATTGTAAGGTGCTAAGATAAAGCGGTTCCATCTGTTTAACCTTTATCACATAAATCACGTTACGTCAATCTCAATAATATTAATAATGTAACAAAAAAAAAACCGGCCACGCACCGTTGGATAATCGGTGCCTCTCGTATGCGGCCGGCCTTAATCTTTGCTATTGTTTCTAAAATGACAGGTGTACTGCGTCAGTCGGTGCTAAGCATGCGCGTGCGCCGGTCGTGTAACTAACTAAGAAATATCGATTGCGAAGTGTTAAAGTGTAAATTACACTCGAGTGTCAAGTGTTTCGGTGTAATAGATTTGTGATCTATGTGTGTCTGAGACGGATTTTGTTGGAGTTTATACACTTATTGGAACATTTTTGGTATGTTTTTTTTAATTGTTAAAACGTGCGTTATCGTTAGTTATAGAGTAACTGTTGAGTTTTTTTCGATCATTTTTATAGATAGGTCTCGGTTTTCGTAATAATAACGCGAGGTTTCTGTTGGAGCAACCTTAGTTTTAATTGCTTAGTACATGTTTTATTACAATAGTATAATTTAAGTAACTATTTAATTAACTTAATATCAAGTCAAATGGAATATAAAGTATTATTTTGTCTTAAATAATGAGGTTAATACTTAACTTTGACTTAGTTCTAACTTAGATATGCTTTTAGAGTTACTAGAAATCTTACTGGTTTTGGCTTTGTCCATGACGTTGTATTAAATAGTATTTTGATAAGAAAGGTTGTATAATCTGTTCCAAATTAGTTACCAAATTACGTAAGAAACTTCAAACAAATAAACATGAATAATTTAAAATAAACAATTAAATTTATGAGTAAAATTTATAAGAATTATTGTCTGTCGTCGTAAATAGAATTATGAAATAATTTTAAATGAAATTAATAATGTACATTTCATTCAATTCTTCCCCTGGCCTCGAAGACGTTCCGTTTCGTTGCGTCTTTGAGTTTTTTTTTAAAGCATTTACTTAAGTGAGTGTTCCGAGTAATTGTTAACAATTATTCAAGCGAATGGTACTTCAAATATTTACTTTGATTTATCTTTCTTCAACAGATTAAACTAACTGCAATATATATTTACAACTAAATTTATTTACTTCTATTATAAATGCTTATGTCTAGATAGATGGATGGATGTTTGTAGGTATCTCCAGAATTCAACGGATCCGGCTACTTATTAGGATTTTTTTTCGCGCGGACGGAGTCGCGAGCGACTGCTAGTAATCTATATGAAAATCGTAAGTAATTATTGTGAAGACATTAAAATTCATGTAAAATTTCTTCAATTTTCGATTTTGTTATTACTGATTTTTTCTAACACATATTTAATTTAGTTTTAAGATGTTAGTCGATGAATAAATAAAGTAAACATGCTCGTCAATATGTCTCATTGTAAATGTGTGAAAAATCTTCGAATTTTATCTTAAAATATAATTTATCACATACAAAAATGTCAAAATACCCACAAACAATATATTATTTTACTTTATTTCACAGACGGACGACCGTTTGCCCTTGCCCAAGTGGTAAAAAAGAACTGCAAAAATGTGACCAAATGTCGATACTTATTAAACGTATGATGAAATCGATATTATTAACGTAAAGTATCGATTTAATCAATTGGAAAGATTACTTTTTCCTCGATTTTTTTTGGTTACAAACATTCAATCCATTCCAAACATTTATTTTTAAGTATTATTTTATAATTAGAATTCTTTATTTAATAATACAAGTGAATAACTTATGCTTGATTTTAAATCTGTCATATAAAAAAAAGAAAAAATGATACTTTTGTTAAAAAAAAACTCAAAAACTACTAGACCTAATTAAAAAAAATTCAACAGAAAAGCTACATTATTGCTCTAAATTAAGACTATAATATTACTTTTTTTATATTAAAAAAAATATCACAAATCTTACTAATATAATAAATGGGAATGTTTAGCTGGCTGTATGTATGGTTATTTGTTAGGAGTTATCCAGAACGGTTGCATGGATCTCCCTAAAATTGGACATAGTTGTAGAACATAGTCTGGAAGAACACATAGTTTACTAATTAAGTTTTAACTCCACACAGACGGAGTCGGTAACAGCTAGTTTGTAATAAACTCAAAAACTACTGCACCGATTTAAAAAAAAAAACTGTGACCATTAGAAATTTATTCGTACTGTTTTACAATTAAAAAAAATAATATCATGTAACTAAAATCATGCCAGATTTTTGTATTTGAAAATGAAAATAGAATATCTTGTAGTTCTTCTGTTCAATCATCGTATGCGCTTTTGTAAGAGCGAAATTGTTTCTTTACTTGATGACTATTGTCAGATAAGTATTATTGCATCAGGCGAAGCAATTTACATGAAATGAGAAAATTACGTTCATTGTTGTATTGTTTCTTTGCGTAAAAACATAAGTTCCTACACTATCAACTATCAATAATAATGTTTTCCGTTTGCTGAATAAACGTTGTTAATTGAAAGATACAGAAAAAATTTAAAAAAAATCTACGTGTATGGTTAATAAAAAAAAATATTAGAAAGTTATAAAATTTAATTAGTAAGTTGCAATGGTTTATTTAGGAAGTACAAAAATATTAAAATGTCACTTGCGTTGATGTCTTTTCCTTTTGAAAAAAAGTACAATGCGCGGGAGTCTCGGAGAACAAATCTCACTAATATACAATGGCTAAAGTCGACGGAAAATATGGAGGAAATTTGGATTTTGATAAACTTTGGGAAATGATATAATAAAGTTAAAAGAGAATAAGGAAATAAGATTAGAACGTACTGTTTGTTTCATGATACATTTACAAATGATTTCGAATAGAAAAAGGGAAGAAATCTTATATATAAAATTCTCGTGTCTTGACCGATTCTCATGAAATTTTGTGAGCATATTGGGTAGGTCTGAGAATCGGCCAACATCCATTTTTAATCCCGCGCGGACGGAGTCGCGGGCGACAGCTAGTAATACATAATGTTCGAAATATAAAAATTATAAGTAAAAAGTATAAAGAGGTATGTGTCGGGAACTATGGGAAACGATATGATTTAGAATTATCCGAGGCACATCTTGTCGATTCCACGGCCTATAGAAGTAAAAAAATAAATAAAAAAAAATAAAATTGAAAATAACTAAATATGATGATAAGCTGTGATTGTATAATTGTTATTAACATTATTAGTTACGAGTATATATTTTAAAAAAATTATGTCTACTTTTTGTCAAAATATATTGTAAAATATGTACGGGCTCGGAAGTATGACTACATTGTCATTTTGAGTTCTCTATTTTTAGTGTTGCCAGGGAATGAAGGGGAAGTTATGTAGGGGGGAGTGACGCCGGTGTGCGCGTGCGCAGAATGTTAACGCATCCTCATTCAAGAGTCTCTATGAGTTAAATCGTCAGTTAGGTGTCGTCTATGGTGACATTACAACATTTACAATCAAATATATTTTATTTTGAATCTATAAATCTTAAATTGTTTGTTTAATATTGTTGTTTAGATGGATAATGATATTGTTACTTACATTCATTCTGTCAGAAAAAGGTTTGATTACAAATGATAAACTTTTTAAACTGATATATAAACACGACTAAACACTCACGTATATTCGTCCGGTGGCGACACCGACTAGTTTCGAGTCCAACATCAGGATGAGTGGTACTGGTATTATTTCGCGGACGCGGCCCGTCGCTCACTCTTTACCAGTACCTCTCATCCTGATAAAGGGACCCCGTTGGGCTCGAAACTAGTCGGTGTCGCCACCAGACGAATATACGTGAGTGTTTAGCCGTGTTTATATATCAGTTTAGTATAATGTCTCACGAAAGTTTGAATAATTTGATAAACTTTTTTTAGTTTTTTTAGTCTTTAAAAAACTATAAGAAGTTGGGAATGTATTACGGATAGACATACTAACAAGGAATTATTTTTATATAGATTTAACTTTAAATGGGACAATTAAAATCATACCATAAATAATATTTATTTTATTTACTTTTCTGTTTATTTATCTTGAAATTAAGCATCTTTAAATTGGTGTATTCGCTAAGACAAGCGTATGGATCGAAAGATTTATGTGTTCGGAAGTCGGAGCTGGATTGATTTACAACAAGACGGGTTAGGTAAGGGAAAAACATAGCGGCTGTCGACATCCCGCTATTGTATTGGATGTTACATCGATTTTATAAAAAAAAAACTTGGATCTGGATTAAAACGGTTGTAGAGTGTTGCCTTTCAATTATGTGTAAGTTGAAAGTAATTAAAAAGAGACACAGAATGTCTCTAATAAAAATAAGAGAGAGACAGAGAGAAACGGATAGACAAGTTTGAAAAAATAAGAGTGTCTTCAAGCTTTCTATCTCTCTTTCTCTTAGTAGTACTTATATCTTCCTTCTCTCTCGTGTAACGAAATGTCTCTAACCTTGAACTTACAAATTTTATATCGATTTTCGTTAAAATATTAAATAAAGTTTCACTTTGAAAATAAATATGATTTATGTATGAAGCTTTTTCCGTATTTCTCCATGCTTATATATTAATTCATTCGATTAACAGCTTTCACGACGAGAAAAACATGTGTAAAAACAAAGATATGATTACAAGAGGTGTCTTGCGATGGCATGTTTGTATAGTTTCTTTTCTTGTAATATTTCTTTGTGAAAAAACATACATTTATTAATTAATTTTAATTGCTTGGCATATTGAATAAAATATATCTTACTAGCTGTCGCCCGCGACTTCATCCGCGTGGATTGAAAAAACACTTAATTAGTTCCCGGCAATTATTCGAATTTTTCTCACCTTTTGAACCTTCTCTAGACCTCCACGAACATTTCAATACCAAGATAAGATAAATCTGTTCAGCCGTTCTCGAGTTTTAGCGAGACTAACGAACAGCAATTGAGTTTAGAAAATGTACATCTTACTAATGTTAAAATGTTTGTATAGATAAATGCATATATGAACAGATCTGGATGAAAATTTGGCTTCTAGATAATGCCTGGAATAACCTTTATGCTGCCTTTTATCCTGGGAAAATTTGAGATAGGGTTTTTTGTTTTTAACGTAAGTCAACAGCGAAATAAAACTTTTTTATTTCACACGAACGAAACAATATGAATATATTATATTATTGTTATAATGCTTACCTTTGTTTGAGTGTAAAATCTTTAAGTGGTAGCAAACGGGGACACGTCATCGTAATGTCATTGTTAAGACATTTTGGAGTCTGTCCACCCACGCTATACCATAATGGTATAAAGTACATTGTTATAAGGAGCAAATTTGCATAATTTGATGCTTCAAGTAAAATTATGAATGAGTTACTTTTCTATTCGTATTATTTTGTTA